GGACTCGATCCTGGGACTCCAGGATCATGACCTGAGCTGAAGGCAGTCGCTTAACCAACTGAGCCACCCAGGTGCCCCTTAAAAAGCTTTCTTAAAACACTTGAGTCAGATTGGACATTGAGAGTCAATGTGGCATAATAGAAAGAGTTTAAGATCTAGAATCAGAAAACCAGCATTTGAGTCATGGATCTGCCATCTGAATAGATGTATAGGTTATAGGATTCAGCTGTGACAATGTATTTTATAGTATTGTAGACTATAGAATGCTATAAAAATGTGCATATAATAAGTGTATTAGAAGAAAAAGGAAATAGTGATAATACAGTTTAAAAATTGGAATGCGGTTATTGGAGGAAATGCACTTCACATATCTATGTTGTCAAGATACAAAGAAATTAACCCTGCAATGTAATGGGCGTTTATTAAATAATGGGCATTGGATTTGGGAAGATAGATAAATAGAAGATGAAAATAATAGGAACTAAGGGGTTTGATCTTTGAAAAGACAATGAAATCAATGAATAGTTGGCCTAATATATTGAGGATAAAAGTCAGAAAACATCAACATGTTTTTAGAGGATGATATACGTAATTGTATTACTAATGTATTTGAAATAGCTGACTTCAAAACATAAATACCCAAATTAGATCAACAGCAAGGCACTTAATCCAGTATTAGGATGAAATAAGAAAGGATTAAAAAAACCTGACTCCTTAATAGATTCAGTAGAATTTTTAAGTGTTGAAGTACAATAAAACCTCTGTATTGCGTAAGGTATTTCTTAAACTGAGAATTAAAAAAATCATATTACTTAAGTATATTTTACAGTGTAAATTGGTAGTAATCCAAAAGCCTCTCAAAAAAAAATCTTACTCACATATTGCATATTAGTTTTGGTACAGAATTACTAAAGAAGATCTTAGCCAATAATCACTTGTAGCAAGTCAGGAGACCTGGCTCGTGTTTCTGTCTGTCCTATTAATAAGCAGTGTGGCCTTAAATCATTTACACTTTTCTGGCTCAGGGGTTCTTGTTTTATGTTTTGGCTCTTCAGTGTGTGTGTGTTTCAGTTTATAAGTGTACAAGTTGTTCTTTTCTAGCTCTGAAAGTACTCTCTCAAGACTAGCGCATTCTAGAAGAATTATTCATTGTGTACAAATTGTCTTTATCCCAAGGATGCAAGTCAGTTTAATAAGGGGAAAGTTCTTAGAATCTATTACAGCAGTAAGGAAGATAGTGGAGACTGATAGAATTGCATCAGAGAGAAATGATTTCCAAATTATATTCCCGAAATGCTCTTGAATTGGAATGGGAAGCATTTTTCTTTGATTATTTAGTGCATATTTATTTATCGTAAACTATTTTTGAAGAAATAATACATGTACATGGTTCAAAATTCAAAAGGCAAACCAAGAATATGTAGTGAAAAGTATTTTTCTCCCTCTTTTCTCCAGTACCTAGTTTATTTTTCTAGGAGCAGCAAATTTTAGTTTTATTTATTTATCTTTTCAAGATTTTATTTATTTTTATAGAAACCCTTTTATTTTTTTTAAGATTTTATTTATTTATTTGAGACAGAGATAATAAGAGACAGTGAGCATGAGAGGGGGGAGGGTCAGAGGGAGAAGCAGACTCCC